CTTCCCTATTGAAACTGCCGCCGCTCCCTGAGAAGCCCCCTACCCCCCAAAAGTCCAGCATTGCAGGATTGGGAGGGCAGGAAGGCCAAGCCAGGTGTCCAGCCAGCTGACCGGTTTGCTTTGCTGGGGAGGGAGGGAGGGGCAGAGGGGATTCCCCCCCCGTGGAGAGCCGCTGCTCCCCCTGCTCAAACGAGGTTCGGCCGCCCCTCCCTGGGAAGGAAGGGACTGCAGGGGGGAAAATAACTCACCAGAACTTCTGCCTTGGGCAAAAAATTAGCCGGTCTTGGGGGGGCCCTCTGCACCCTGTGAGAAACCAGACTGCCACCTTAAACCACAATATATGGTTTATTTGCGTGGTATGTAATGCAAACACAACAGCTGTGTTTTATTAACCAGGTTGAGCAGAAGCCACAGAAGAACCTAACTATGATTCGAAACTAACAAAACTTAGTTGGTTGCAGAGGTGGCAGTCGGTCTTTCGAGGACGCGGTTTGCAGGCTGTGGGAATGCAAGTCTGAAGTGGGGTGGAGAACCCCGTATCCCACCTCCAGCCAGACATGGCCACCATCGGGGGTCCTCAGGGAGGGGACGGTGACATCACACGCAAGGACATCTCGGGGCTTCGACCCACCCGAGAAGCCAGAAGTTCATCTGTTCTGTGATAGCCAGGCATCCTCTGGTGACATCACAGCCTGGCACTCTGCACACGCTCAGAAGTTCTGCACTCCTGATTCAGGGAAAGAGCAGTGCTGCAGATGCCCGGACAAGATAAATGGGGGGGAAGGAAGAGGAACAGAAAATGGGAGGGCAGCCAAGGGGGGGCCAACAATTCACCCTTTGGAAAAAGCAGGCTTATTAAGCCAACATGTTCCAAAAGCTGCTTTGGGGAACTGGATTACCAGAGGTCACATAAATGGAGTAGCGAAGAGGAAGCAGCAAGATTCATACGGGCATGTGGTGGGGGGAGGGGACCCCACCCCTTCTCTCCACCCCCCCAGCCCTTATAAAGCTGGTGCTTGGAGCAGAAGGGGAGGGAGACTGCAACTGGAGGCGGGGGAGAGAGTCTTTCAATCCAGGACAGCCCCCCTGCCCTCCAGAGTCTGCGGGGGACACTCCAGCCACTGGACACACCAAGAGCGTGGGGCCAGTGAGGTTCCTCTGCACCCGGGGGGGACAAGGAGAGTCTGGCACAGGAGCATTCTTTGCCCTCCCAAACGCCATACCCCTTGCATAGATAAGGGCCAATACAGTCAAAGTGCTAAGCCAGAAGGGGGGAGGCTCAAAGGAGCCCCCCAAGAGACAGGAACCACTTGAGAACCGTAGCTGGGCTACCAGAAGCCCACTTCCTAAAAGCCTCCTTGGGGGTGGGGGCAGGGTAACATGAAGGGGGCTGGTTCCTCCCAGTCTGCAAACCAGGGAGGGAGGAGGGAGGGAAAAGGTCCCTTTGCTGCCCACCCCAGCATCGGGAAGGAAAGGAGCCCCGGCACATCCCCCCCATCCCCCCGAGCCCAAGACCTTGTCTTGCAAACTGATTTGGAGCAGCGGCTGCAGGAACCGCTTTCCGGCCGAGGGAGAAGGACCGCCCCCCCTGGCACAGAGGCTGGCAGAGAAGGGTGCCCATGATTTATGCAAAGCCGGGGAGGGGGGCTGGCCCCCACCATGCAGTTGCTGAGAAGTACAACACGCCTGCCTAAACGCCGTGCGTGGAGGTGGGCTCCCTAGCCTTCTCCGCAGCAGTCCTCTGGTCCGTGGGGGGGTCAGGACATCTGGTGAGGGGCCTCCAGCATCTCCATGAGGAAGGTGTCGATGGGGGTGTCTCCGATCAGTTTGAAAAAGAAGAGGTGCTCCAGGCACTTCAGGCCGATGGATCGCAGGGCAGGAAGACGCAGCAGCAGCTTGGCAAACCTGGGGGAGGGGGGCACGTCAAGGCCCCTGGCGTGGGTGAGGGGACTGTTCCCCCCCAGGATGGCTCTGAAGGGCTGGAGGAGGCCTGGGGGGCAGGGATCCTCTGCAAGCAAGGAACGCCAACATGGCAGGGTATCCCTCCGCCAAGGAGAGGCCTGGCTGAGCGCACTGATACCCAGGGAGGCTGAAGCTTTACCCCCCACAACCACCTGCAGGCCTACACACAGGCAGGGTCTTCTCTGGGTCCCAATGCCACCTCCAGCCCTGATGGCTTTGGGGGCGGCCCACAACGCAGCAGTTTACAAAGACCGACTCTTAAAACAGGCCAGACTCGGGGGGGCTCCGCTCTGCCTCTGCTTCCCAGGGCAAAGATGGGCCGAGCACGGCCCCATCCGCTCTGGCCTGCAGATGCTTCAGCCTCTCATCTCCCCCCAAAACCTCCGAATCCCACACAGGCCTGGGCCCAGCCCCCGGCAGGGGAAGAAGGGGAGACCGCGGGCTCTCCGTGCCCTGCCTGCCCTGGCCCAGGTGCTATCCACCCCCCCCCGGAGCCATACCTGCCCTGTTGATCTGGGTACTTCTGTTTGCAGTAGGACTCCAGCGTGGCATAGACCTTCTCGCGCAGCAGCTCCACCTCCCCGGG